ACTGTTTACTAACGAAAACCTGGGCGATTTACGTACACAATCATGTAGTATTTTTTGCCTTGCCACGATCGACTGGACTAATAGTCGCGATCGACCGGTTGGCCACCCCGTCCTAGAGGAGACTTCGGGAGGACACCGTCAGGTTTTAGTGAGTAGGCCCTGCCCATCTGGCAGGGAGAGCCTCACATAACCCACTGGTTCCCCCGGGCCAGTGGGTATGCAATTTCATGCATTTCCTGACGAAAAAAAAAAGAAAAAAAAAAAAAAAGAGGAACATGCTCTTGCAGAGGCAGGAGACGACTACCATGATGATGAAGTTCTTGAAAGCAAGCCTTTGTTCTAACAAAATTCTGAGCCTACCCCGAGCTCATATTTCATCCCATGTGCGACCAAAAGTACTGTAGAAATTATAACAGCCTTGTGTAAAAGATGAGATGATAACACAGCATTACGCGGTCCAACAATGGAACAAATAAACATAATTTTCCACTTGTCTTGCTTTTTGTTCCGAATGATACGATTATTCAGACGGAGGAGTTTTAAAACGGAGACTTCAACAATGACACTATAACGGTTCGAAATGAGCAGAAATAGTAATTACTGCATACATATGAATGGGTTATAATAACAATCTTCAACTGCCGTGTACCTAGGCTCGCCTAATAAGACCCGGTTGCAAAACGAACCCCCTTTAAGTCACAAAACTTGCTGAGAATCAAGCATTGAATTTCCCGTCCATGCAGGCACCCCTTAACATTATAAAGAACATCCAAAACTAAAATGATACATTAACCAGACCAAAATAGATAATGTAAATTATGAATCAAATGCCATCTGTTTGCAACAGTTGGTACATTGACGACATCTGGTGATTTGGTGATGGTATCACGCAATCATTACATACAATAACCGAGACTACCTGTCATAAATAGTGTGCAGACGACGGCACAAAGCTATACTCTGTAGCACCTTATTATAGTTGTTATACGTACGATTTTGCATCAAAAATGTGCAGCTTGTACTGTACAATCAGTGCATTTGTAATAGCTTCTCCAAATATTGGCATCAAGGCCGCAATCCCAACAGCCATGGCGCAATGCGCACGCGACTCGGCGCCATTCATGTCATGGATGCACTCTCGGTTTCAACACGTTCATTCATTCAATGTTTTAAAATAATGCACCATTGATTTGGCGAGCGTATTTACAGGTCAAAGGCTCTGAAAGCTCGGAAAGCTTGTTCCATAAAATATTTTTTGCGAGAAAAATATTTAATTAATGTTTTCTACTGTAAAAATATGTGTGCTAGCTTTTTCAAAATGAGTCGGATTTTAGTAGCAAATCGCTCAATGTCTTAATTCTCACCGTGTCCAGTCCTTTTTAGGGCAGATTCCGATCAGCGAAGAATATAGCATGGTTAATGTCCTTAGGGCCTCGCCCGCATGTCCCGTAGACAGATTTATTTCGATCTGTCACAGTCACAAACTTATCGCACACACGTCCTACTCGCGACGTCAAAGGACTGCTTTCCAAACCGATTTTCATATATTCACAACTGTTTCGCTCACTCCCTTAAAATAGGAGTCATGAGTGTGAAAGACAAAAAGAGCTGATACATCTAAACTGATTGGGGAGTTGACCCACGGAAGAAAAGTGTATCCTTTGGGAAGTCCCAAAGTCCCAAGTATCACACTCGTAAAATACCTTAAAATAACAGCAGTAGTTTTACCGCAAAGGAATAGCACAAAGGCAATTTATTCAGAAGTGAACCCATCCATCCATTACCTTTCCCATTATAGCTATTTACCCACGATATTGTCACTTCGTCTGTAATCACGCCGAGACAACACAATCGCGAATACTTCCTCATGTTTTGTTCATGTGCGAATAATGAATTTACATGGCAAGCTGATAAATAAACAATTACCTTATGAATATTCATGCAGCATTTACGATACGGAGCCGGTCGCGTAAAAAGAGACACAAATATTTTGAAATGGCGCACCTACATACAGTACCTCAGAATGGGTCTTAGTTTTATTTTGGCCTCGTTCTGTTGACCTAATTTAGGTATCATTTAGCTCAGCCTAATGTACGTAGATGACGTTATTTGGGAAAGAAGATTAATAAATGGGCAAAAACCATATTTGGCACGTTCTGCGGGCCATATTTTAGGATGCCGTATATGGGGCATTGGGTTGGAGTCTTGACCGTAATGTAACCTAGTTCGGTGTGGTGCTGAATAAATAAGATAGCATTACCAAGCAGTAAAGCTCGAGTTTGCTTTATTGCTGGCGCATCTATTGTAAAAATGTGCCATTTTCTCCGAACAATGTGTCAGATTTACAACCTTTCACAAATTCGTCAGGTCCTTCTAGAGTTACTTCTCATCTTACATCAATCATCAAGTTTGTATTTCTTCTAATAGCTCGTTCATTATGTCCATTACGCCATCTTTATGCCTAATTAGCTTGATCTGCATTGCCTTCCTGACTATTAATAGCAGCATGCTAACATTTTCTGACTATCTGCTCCATTATTATCAGCCTTGGTTCGTGGTAAAATTCGCAGCAGTTACCGATACTTTCCACTTGGATGTAGTTCACATTGTACTTATCGGCAGGCGGAGTTGCTAGCATTGACCGGTGAATATGTTAATGGTGTACTTATGTAACCAAAAAAGGCGTATATTCAAGGGAAAATTAAAATAAACCTGAATATTTATTTACTTAAAAAGTACATCGACTCCTTTCTACTGCAAAAGGAGAGATAGTAAACTAAAAATTTAATCAAACCTTTGTAAGTGAAAAATACGCTGCGGAACTTATGATATTAAATTAAGGCGACCTATCACGTGAGTAACTATCTGCCAGTAATAGGTGTGGCAAGGTATGGAAGTTTTTTCTTGTCGCAACAAGATTGGATTAATTTTAAATTACACCCCCGCAGTATATGATGGTAACAAGGTTGAAATCTCTGCGTCTACTTTTAAAGTTCCTATAAGGAACTGATAAAAGCAGTGGATGAAAGTAAAATAAGTTGAATGAAGCCTTATCACGAAAGCAATTAGTTGAGTGAGTATTATGCCTTTATCATCAACAGCATAGAGAAAATTACTTCCAAAGTGCAAAACTTTCGGTTCTCTTAAAGTTGAAGTGCAAACAACCTCTTATTATAGTTTCCTTTCACACTTAAACTCACTCGAGCAAATGGACGCTGACTCTCTGATGTCATCACTCCAAAAGCCTTGTTGCAGTTATTTTAGTAATCAAAAGTTTCTCGGAATTTTAATGCAAATGACTACGTATGTTTAGTGAACTTTGAGTAATAACGTCGTGTGTAATTAAAATCCTTCTTTGACATTACTACAGGTTTTAAAACCTGATTATTCAGTCACGCCATTCGTATTGCTTTTTATGTTCGTAAAACAAAGGCTGAAATCGCATTATGCTGATCCAAGGTGATGCTTTGTTGATGGGTAATGAATATTAGGGTTAAGATCTATTCATAATAATGTAACTCTTGTATTTATTTTGTCAGCAATGAATCCTCATTCACATAATTATCAAAAAAGAAAATATCATAGAGTAAAGTTGCATTGACAATTTCACATAATCATAAACCACTTTAATGCTAATTGCATGATAAATGCAGAGTGGCAAGTTGAGAATAATTTTTTAGAAGTGTCCATAACAAATATTACTCACAAGCATCATGTTTGTTTGTTTCAAACATGTGCCAAGACTGAAAGAATTTTGTTGATTCAACGTTTGTCCATATAAACATGCAGGCTACTTATTTATAACAACGAAAACATAGTTTTTTAAACCTTGTTAGTTTGAATTCTCCAGCTATTATTCGTTCGGAGTTAAAAAGGCAAGCAAGACATCTCAGCTCGGCACAGACGCAAAGATACAAAAACTTTTGCTAGGTACTAAGTTTGCGCATGTGAAATGAGCTCCTCGGTTTTCCGCCATAATCTATCTTTACTTTTTAGCGTTACATTATTTTTACAACTTTAGCGTGTTGATTTTCTAAGGGTATGCGCCTACTATCAAAAAATCAGGACACATACGACATTCGGGCCATTAATTTTAAGATTAACTTCTGATTGACGATCTGATGGCTTTAGCTTAGATTTATCAATCAATCAAAAATATTTATTCAGTTTAGACCTCAAGTGGCACTTATGAACGTCAAAATGTAAATAATAAAAAAAGAAAAGCCCTTATGAGGCACTTTACATGTCTCCTTCACTTTTGGGCCCTACCAGCGCTTCGAGACAAACATATGGCAAGTGCTGAGAAGAAACGCCGGAACAAACTCCGTTAGCTGTAACCTAATAAATGGTGGTAGCGTTATAATAATAACGTAGGATTAATCGCACAATAAATTGGGCGTATGTATCCATTACATAATATCTTTCTCCATCCTTTATGTAAAGTCGTTGCCCCCTAATAACCTTTCACACAAAGGATTGGCAACATATTCTCTCGAGGTTGATATTTACTTTTCCCAATACTGATCAAAGCAGTTTAGAATTTTAGGATTGATCTGATCTTCATTCCTAAAGAATTGCAAATAAAAAGAAACATCCTTCTTAATATTATAAAGACGAAAGTTTGGATGTCTGGATGTCATGATGTCTGGATGTTTGTTACTCTTTCACGCAAAAACTACTGAACGGATTTTGTTGAAACTTTACAGTATGATTGTTTATAACCCAGATTAACATATAGGCTATAATTTAAGACGATATGTGACAAAAAAAATTCAATAAATAAAAAAGACGTGTCTAAAAAGCGTCATCTCATCTATCGTCATTGGTTAAATCTAAAGCGCTGGACAAACTACTGTTTTTGACGTTCGCAAATATTCATGCGGGGAAGACGTGAAACGCCATCTATCAACATTATATCTAACGCGTGTAAAACGAGGTCCACGCGTACGAAGTCGCGGGCGGCCGCTAGTTATTCATAAGAGTAATAATGTAATACTCACTTCCCGGAGAGCACCAAAGACAGGCTGTCCACCTTGGTGACTTTCTCATGTGCGTAGAGCTCGTGGCACTTGAGGTGCCTGACGTTCCTCATGCACATCAGCACCCTTCGGAACTGCCGCCTCGACACCCGAAGAGGTTTGAAGAGCGCTACGTAGACCTGAGGACAAGAGAGACACACTGTTAGACTTCAAAAATGATAAGGTGATGAGAGAATTTTCTCATTATGAGGCCTCAAGAATACTTTGTTAACTTAACGAAGTAGTGGTCTAATAGACCCCACTGAACTATACTGTGAAGATAGAACTGATGAAATCCAGTGAATTCATATTTTCTTTTCTGTAAAGTTTCTGTTAATTTGGCTTTGGCCTGGTCAAGGGTTAATCACTATTTGCGACTAATTTGTCTCAGTAAGTGGGGCTAGATTACATTATCTGTCACGGAATCATCTATTTTATAGGACAAACAAGGTTGTTTGAGCCTTTAAGCAGGTCGGCGATGAATAACGTTCGACCGCTTTATCACGCTACTTTTAGATTTGATTGCACGTCAAGTTATAGAACTTGATCTAAGACTAATAATCTTCTTTTCAGTGCTGTAAGAACTTTCAGTTTCTAGGTTCTAGATATAAATAGAGTTTATTTCTTAACAAATTAAAGTGACTCTACCTATTTTCTTTCTTCTGGATTTCTCGACGGAATCTGTCAAAATAAAAAAAAATCAAATCAAAGCTTAAATTGCAATATAAGCATAACTTAGAAATTAGAATAAAATTTGATCATATATGGAACACTGACCAATTTTACAGATAGAGCCTCACGTTGCTTCGGCGAATCGTAATCGAAACACAAAGGTCAAAATGCAATTTCAGTTCAATTATTAGAATCGCATAGTTTGATGGCACGATGTGATAGCGCAAAACTATAGTCAATTAAGCGTTTGTTTATAATTCAAATGTTCAGTAATTTCTACTAGCTTATGCAACACCTACACTCGTTTACATAAAGATGCCTGACAACAGTGTCAATCCGCTCCCAAAACATATCTATAAATAACTTGAAATCCAAGTACGGCCAATACGGCCATTCCCTAAGGCAGTCTCATCAGTGCTAACGATTCTTCGGGATAAAATAACGTAATGCCTATTATTAGAGCCGTGGCAGTCGAATAGAGCCGACATTATGTTTATTCGCATGTGTCTGATTGCCACCATTCACTGGACAGCGGCAAACTCGCGGATGAGCTTGTGCAAATTAATGGAAAGAGAATATTCACGCTTTATTCTTTTCTAGATAAACCACAAGCATCGTAATTGAGTATTCATCAAAATACATACATAAGGCGCTGATTGCCGTTGTCGCACCAAAGACAGACGCGTCTCTATAAAATTCTACGCTCTCGTACAGAGACAGTGACAAAAAATCAATAAAGTCAAGAAATACCTATATGCCTAATATACAAACGGGTATAATTTTAAGCCAGTTAAAATTATCCGTAACTAAACAGAAAATCGAATTGTAAACAAAATGTAAAGACACTCCATCCTTTTGTCTCCCCCAGCGGATATCTCGTTAGCACAAGTACGAATATCCTCCTTCACGTCGAAACTTACCAGATAAATTAGCTTTTGAACTACACCGGGGGTCCCTTTAATAACCGGCTTTATCACAATGTAATTTACTGGTTTCTTGTGCAAAGGACGAGCGTTTCCATCAACACTTACATTACAAAAAGCGAATATCCTTCTTATGGTGTAGTCTATAAATAATCATCATTATCTTGCAAGGAGCAAGCTCAGGCATAGATTGAAACCTCCGGGGTGTAATTTTGTTCGTAGAAAATGTCTGAGCTGAAAGGTCACTATACTGCTGCTCCTACTTAATATTATAATTTACTGCAATACTGACGACGACCAATATCTAACATAGCAATTTTTTCATCAACAACTAGCTGTGTTCCGCGTTTAATAACACTTTCCTTCATATCAAAAGCTTTAATCAAGCGAAATCATATCAATAGATACTATCAAGTAAAGAATTTCAAAGCAAAGAAGACAAAAACTTATATTCTTCAATCTCACACGGATTAGTATTTTATACAAAAGCACAATTCCTAGGAGCTCAGATAGGAAATGTGCTGACGTCGATTTCCATAGGGTGTGCAAATAATATCCTCTCGGATGTTAGCGGGACCGGTGGAGATATGAAATGCAAAGTTGGAGAAATATTGCTTCCCGAGACAAGGTGACAGGGAAAAAGCGTAAGCAATTTTGAAGACGACATTACTTGGCTAAAAGCAATACATCCGATCTGAAAACAAGGAACAAGAACAATTACGATCGAACAAATTCTAAATGTGGCTCAGTATTTTGGGCAAAATTTCTCAACATAGCCTGCCAGTTTTAGCTTGTTCTTTGAAAACTCAAGTGGGGTTTCACTTAGAAATCGCGCGTTAGTTAGTCTTCCGTTTTACGTTAACAGGAAAGCAAAAGCTTTTGTTGCGTCAATCACAATTCACAAAGAAATTACCTATTTCACCGATGAGGATATTATGTAGAGAGTTGACTTAGTACCGTAGCTATTTTCAATATGAAACGCGTTTTACGAGCTTATAAACTACACTACAATGGCTCTATATTGTAGACATGATATTGCAACGTCATAACTTTCTGCAATCTCCGTGCCTGTCTCCAGCAACTCTCAACCTTCGTATTATATGAGGTTTTCCAACTTACCGTTATTCTCATTTAACAATATCGTCCGTAACGAGTCTGTGAAACCTACTTTTTCGTAATCGTATTTACGTCATCTCTCACTTAATAGCTTTGGTGTTGACACTCACAACTCTCACGTCAATTGTAGATTTGAGTGAAACCATTACTTTTTCCATTTCAGTTTTCGCCTACTTGTTTACTTTGATTGATCACATTACTTCATCATCAATCAACACGTGAATTTTGGAACAGTATACCACCTGACTGAACAAACTAAAGCTAAAAATTATTTTCTAGAACCGACAGCTGAGCTGAAGTCAACTGCATCAGCTGAACAGTTGTGCCTATTTTTGCCGAAAGCATAAATTATACTCGAGGCGCTCTTGTTGCCATACCTAAAAACAAAACACTGCCAGAACGGTGCAGTTAAATTAATGACTCCGAACAAAACCTAAACAAGTCTTGGCCTAATCCAGCACGGTCCACATTACGGCAACAGCTGGACGCGTTTAAAGCCAAAACAATGGGACCTTTTTACCGGCCGCCATATTGTGCCGGGACTGGCGGGCTATTGTATCAGTAGCGGCGAAAATATTCATCTCGGCTCGCTGGAATAGTTCTGTTTACCCTGCTCCAGAAATATTACGGGTGCAGCCCTTGCACCATGTTTGTTATTGAGGGGACCAGTCACTTCCAATAACTCTACGTACATGTTTACTCATTCCAGAACCAAAATCCTACAGATCTAAATGGTAATTAAGCGAGCCGTCTGATGCCACCCACACACATCACACTCAACCTCAAGACAATGCCGTAATTATTTACTTCAATTATGCTCACCTAAATTTAATATTAAATATCAGAGAACAACCTTTTAGCTAATGAATTGTGTTTTAAGACAAACCTACGCAGCGTGCGTAGGCATTTGAGATGATTCCTTTCCTACAGCCAATGAAATTAAATTCGGTATTGTTGGAATATTAAAAGGCAAAAGCCACCGAGCTGAGGGTAAAATTATCGCTTCTTTTAGTACAAAGTTGTAAAAGAATACGTAATGGTTTCTCACGAATAAATCAGCATCAGCTTTTCCGTCATTACTTATTTACGATAGATCAGTTTGCTCCCGAAATGCTTCCGTTGGAGGAACTTTGTTTCGACATTCGAGTTCGTGTGTTCAATGCAATAGTTATTAGACACAGAGTCTCACACGATTTTTAACATATAAGTAAAAAAAGAAATACAGTACCTATTTTAAAAAATTGAACTAAGTTTACAAGAAACATTTACAACGAGAAAGACAAGTCTAAAATTGAAAATGATGACTCAATTTTTCAACAGTGTACACTGAAAATCTTTGCGTTAGCCGAACATTAGCTCAGCGAAACGATGGCTGACCTCCGATAGAGCTAAAGGCCAGCACAAATTAAACGCAAACATTGTAACGGGGACAGTGATCTCGGCCGAACGATAGTCAAATATTGGTAATGTATGCAGCTAGCCTGCAGCCGCTTTGTCTGCTGCTAACACTGGTGTTTATGTAAATAACCTTATAGCCTAAGGCTGAGTTGCACCACCTAACTTTGAGGGTAACTATAACGATAACCGATGTTTTTTGTATGGAGTTTGTCAGATTTTTGACGTTTGTAAAAGTCAAAGTAAGATGGTGCAACCCAGCCTAAGATTGCTTGCGGCGGCGATATTATACACTGAAATATTATGATGCAGGACACCCCATATTTCACTGTTACTATTAGGGATGCCAACTTAGTACACAACTGCTTGAGACTTCTTACTCGTGAAAACGTTTTCTTTAAAAGAGCATCATTTATTACGATTACATTACCGAACATTGCATCAAGACTTCTAATTTAAAAGGTTCTGCGTTCAGTAAAAGGTCTAGCTCTAGAAGGTTCATTGTTATTCGAAAACGATATAAACCCTAGATTTTATTAAGAATTTACGTAAAATGAAAAGGCGTAGATTAATATTAGATTATGAGTACAAAGTAGTGTTGCCAACCCTGGTCAATTTTGGAGTTGACGACTTCGCAAACACAAGTCAGTGTTTCTACGAAATCCTGAATAACTTACGCATTTCTGGATAAGCATGAAACATAAGAACGCTCGGTGCCAAACTGCCAACATGCCTAGAAAACCAATGTACACTAATCCTAATACAATATTGGGTTGGGTACAATTTCAAATATAATTTTCGGACCGATACATTTTGGCCCAATAAATTCAGTTGGCGAGTTGGCGAGATAAAAAAATTGGCCAAGAGCGAGTCGAACTTGCGCACGAAGGGTTCCATACCATTATCTAGGTTTAGGGTTTCGTTTTTACCCCTAAAAACTTTTGGATTCTCGGAAAGAGTGCCGATATGACGATTGACGACCTACGAGCCTACGGGTACGTTATTATAAGTTGAGCTCCCAACTTTTACTAACT